GTAGTGTTAGATCAAGCTCATATCAATGTTGCAATTTTACAAAATGTATGTGCTTTTAATAAAAATGCATCATATATATTTTTAACAATTTTTTTAGGGGGTTTTCCCCTTTATTATGATAGGACAGTACGAATTTTAGACATTGGGAGCAGAGTGAAGGGAAGGATCGACAAAGGACCTTGAGTCGGGAATCGAACTCTGGCCGCTGTGAGCACATTTGTGCTATATGTCAGTGCAGTACCACTTTCTGCTATATATAGCAGAAAAAAGCCCTAATTTGGTCTTTCACCAATGTTGGGATCTTTCGTTTCAGTTTGTGTGAGTAGGCCCTTGTTATACATTATGTCTTTTGTGTGGACATTTGTGTGAATGCTTTAGTCTAATATCATTGAAAGCACTGTAAAATCTTTGTAGTGTACACTATATGAGCTCTGTCAATGAGACAAACAAAAAGACACATCAAGCGTTTCATTGGTAGAGTTAAAAAACGTTTCCGATTGTTTTCTGAATGTTGTCTCGTTTCAGTGCCTAATTCTTCGCCTACAAGGGGCGCAGCCATTTGAATCTTTTTGGCTCGAGACTTCTGGTCTCATTCCCTTCCATTTATTTTTAGACATTATCTTTAATATCTTATAGACATATTCTTAAATACCACCTAATCATTTTTTAATGATGATTTCATTATTAAAAATGGGAAAACATTAGAGACTATAAATTTTGATTTCTGGACTGACAATGGTGTGATGGGCCAGCCTTATCCAACGAGGAAATGTAAGTATTTTACGTTTTTTCAGTTTAGTGGCCAATTTGTACGAATTCGTATGAGTTCAATCGAACATAAATGTACGATTTTAAAAAGGAGGCGTGGCACACAACCCCACCCTTTACCCCAACCGTCATTGGGTGATGAGCAAATTGTACTAAATTGTACGAATAAGATCATATGAATTTATACGAATTATCCACTAAATAAAAACAGTTACGAATTGCCGTGAGATTTCATTGGACGGGCATGGTTCATTAATCCAAATGCTGCTTTCAAATGCAGAAGCAAGACTTTTAACCTCACATGTGCTAAACTTCACGTGTCACGTTGATCATTGTATGGCCTCCTTAAAGATGTTTTTGCAAATGCCTCATATCTTAAAGGGTTCTACCCTTGATTGTGAAAAAAAATGTTTGGCTTGGTCTAAGCAGTCCTTTATAGGTAATAGCAAGACGCATGCTATAGACCCCTAGATGACCTGAAAAATGACATGCATTTCTAATCATAGAGCTTACGCGAGCCTCTGGTAGGATTTGCTCCCTTGGAAGGAAACTTGTTCCTTAATTGTTTCAGTTGTTTTTGGCATTTACGGTCTTGTTCAATTACATCATGATTTTTCTTAAGGTCCTAGATAATGCATTATTGTTATTTATTATTTTGTTTTTCAGATTTCATAAATTAGAGAACAAAATAAAAAGATGCACTTAGGTTCAACATTATTTGTTCTTTAGACATTCCTCTTTAAAAGAAAAAAAAAAACTGTAACTGTTTACTCAGGAAGCCATATTGTAATTCTTGGATGTTAGAAAGTGAACCATGTAGTTCTTTTAGATTTAAGATACCAAAAGCAGCAGTTAAGTGTCAACATCTAAAAATCTATTCATATGTTTAATGCTTAGATTTCGTTATATAGATTTTGTGTCCCCGATCCAGCCTTAGACTAGTGTAACTAAGTTGTTAACCCATAACTACTTGTGGTATTTATGCCTTTATCTTCTGATCTGTGTATAGTGTTTCTCACACCCTCCTCCCGTCCGTCTTTTACTTTTCCCCATGATCATTTCATTAATTCAATTTCAGTCTTCAAAGGCATTCTCCTTGTTCTCTTTTGTACTCTATAGCGAACCCGTTTACCTCCCTTTTTGTTTCCATTTCTGCCTTTCTCCCTCTTGTCCTTGCTTTGTGTGAGGCTATTAGCTATAAACATGAGGTTTCAGTCCCAGATGTGGCTCATTAACCTCAGCACCCCAAAGCACGAATCCAGGAGGGCTCTGCTAACTTCCCTTCACCAGATTGTAATTCTTTCTTCATATCAACAACATCTGCACCCCCATTTCTTACAGTAGTGTGTATAAACGTACACACATGCTTTTTGCTTGCATGGACAGGCATTTAGAGTGGGTATATAAATATAACTGAATAATCGATAACAATTATTTAAACTAAACAATAGTACCAGCTAAAAATTAACATTTATTTTTTTTTATCCACAAATTGTGCAGCTTTTACATTACTTAAAATGAACGCAATTCATTTTAAAATTACAAACAGTGCAATTTGGTAACACCGCAAATGATTAAAAAAGAATTTAACATGTCTCAATCAAGAAAAAGTTTGGAGCACATATTTGATGCATAAGAAGTTAAAATGCACACCTATAAATCCATTACTTACTAAAAGAAAATAGCCTTATAAACTACTGTTTATAGCAATGAGAGTATTACAAGAAGTTATGTTATTAAATGTTCATGTTAAAAAATAAATTAAGTTATTTTTATTCTAATAATTCCAGCTAGATTTTAGTGAAATTGCAATTTTGCCAAATAACACAGAACTTTCAGTTGTTATATGTAAAATGGCCTAAATACATGCAAGACTATTCCAATATTTTGCTCAACTCCACCATCTCGCATCTGTATATATTTTAGCTGTTGTGACATGACTGCATTGATCGCTCACACCCCCACACATCATTAATCGTGTTGTAGCTACTTTAGGATATGCATAATATACGGGAGCGCTCATGCGTCTTCGGTCCTGTCAGATCACGCACTCTCATTCTCATACAGCAGAGAGTGGCTGTGTGCAACTCCATCCTGCGCGATTTAGAGAGCAGAAATTCGTAAACGCATGACCAAGTAGAGAAATAAATAACACGCTGTTGTGTAAATAAAATATTACTTACAGCTATTTACCTTGTTTATTAAAAGAAGTTGGGATCTGGCTCAATATATGAAATATAATTAACTTGACCTCGCTGGGAGGGTGGGGTGCCCCTCCTAATATAATGGTAGGGGAAACACTGCCTGGTGTCTATAAAGTTTCACCTCAAAATGCCCTTCAGATAATTTATTACACTGTTAGAAATGTTAGTCTGGGTGAAGGTACTCTCAGAAATGAAGATATGGGAGCTGTCACTGGGGCAGTATCTTTTCAAGAGGTACCTATTTGTACTTAGGGTCATTTATGGTATGACAAATGTACATAAAAGTACCAAAAATACACCTACATGTATAATGTACCTTTATAGTATTGTTATGGGTTTTATATCATCACAACTTTGCATAGTGTCTGTTTGTTGACGCAGAAAATGAACACAGTTTATTATATCTTCACCTTGACGAATATGACGTTATGATTTAAATTGAGAAGGATCCATATAGAAAGTATCTGTGAGATTCTTTACTTAGACACATTCAATGTGGAGCTGACTAGCAAACAATATTAGAGCAGGTCAGTTGTGGCATCACACTCTACCATTTCTCCAAACAGCTTGTCTGAGAGACTGCTTTTTGATATTTGGAGATAAAAAAAACCTTTTTAAAATTAAAATACGTTGGTTGTACACACACACTGCCAACAAACCTTTATGTATAAATTGACGCATTGAAGTCACATCATTCTGAACCAGAGATATACATAAGTGCTTTATGCTCCTCTGTACTGGAGACACATTGGAGTCTTGAGTCACACTGATAACCTATTTCTTTATATCACAACTATCATGTCTTTTTTATTTTTAAAATGGCTGCATGATACATTTAAATTAAACATTATAATTTTATTTTCAACAATTTGTATTTTATTTATGTGTTTATATGTCTACACAATTAATTGGTACTGAATTAGTTTGTTAATTACATGTATTTTGTTATTTGATATTTCTTGCAAATTTGTTGTTATTACATTGGTTGCTCCTTTCCACAAGTTCAAGGTTGCTTTACAAAAGATTAATGTACACAATAAACAACACAAAATAAAAAAAAAAACACCACAAATTTTTTTTTTCAGCAGAAATGCATTTAAAATTAATGTTTAAAGCCAATGATAATTGAAGATAGACAGAGTGAGGGAATAGTGTGAATTAAGTAGATTGTGTCTACCATTTAAACAAGTGAGCATCATTTCAATTTACAGAGTTGTAGATTATTTTTACAATGATCAAGTAAAAACTTGACATTTCTGAACCTCAAGTTTTTCAAAATATGAATAAACAACAATGCACTCACTTTTAAGCCATAACTATACATGACATCTACTCTCTTTGGTTCAGTGCCAGGTCAAACATTCATCTGAATGTCTACGGTGTGCATACTTGCAAGGGGTAATACCTGTATTGTTGTCATTTCTGAATAAGATTGCGTGGGTGTTTGGTTTTGGATTAATTGCGCAACTCTGCTTGCTTATGTTGAATGGATTGTTTATTAATGTCACTCGAAATTCTCCATCATATTTTTCTGCCTCTGTTTGTTTTGTGTGTATGTGTCTTACATCATGAGCAGTTCTTTTTAAAAAGACTGTTGAGTTAAAAGAACATTTGTGCACTTTGTGATCTCTTGATTTTGTTAACTTTAGCTGCACTGTCTAGTTTATGAGCACAGACATTCCTTTTAGAATGCAGTGTATGTAGTCAGTAGACAGTATTGTGACTCAGTAGTTGGAGAAACAGAAAGTATTGTGTGCATTTTGGTGCTAATCTCTCTCTCTTTTTCTCAATCTATCTTGTTATCATTCTCTGGGGCTGTTCAGGGTAATATGAGAGTCGTAGCAATGTGGGCTGGAGTCCTATGTGTTTTCTTTCAGTGTTAGAGTGTAGTGTGTTAGTGATTATGACATTGTTTTATGTACACTCGCAAATATCCTGTTTTCTATTTTGTTTCATTCAGTGATTAAACAAAGATGCTTTTTTAAAATTCAGGAACAGGCGACTAATTTTGTTTATCTCTTTCAACAGTGGAATGTTATCCGCAAACTCATTGTCCACTAGTAAGTGAGCTGGAACGCCCACTGTCACTGTCATTCATTGGAACAGTGGATTTCCGTGTTGTAGGTTATATCAGTCAAAAAAACAAAAAACAAAACAAAACTTGTAACTGGAGTAAGAGAGCATGGATGCCTTGGACTCTTTGCAAAGCTCATCTCTGGATGCCAAAGCTGAACGTATTGCCCGCTACAAGGCTGAAAGAAGACGGATGCTGGCTGAAAGATATGCAAACTTGGAGGAGAATACATCTATATACACACAGAGGGAAAGACATCAGGAAAGTACAGACACGTCAAATGTCGCGCCCAGCTTGGAGACGAAAATGTTGGATGTTTCTTCTGGACTGAGTCACCACAGTAAAGAGAGTGGAGTTTTGAGCGAGCAAGGAGACAGGAGCAATTCTAAGGAAAACACCAATGCCTTGTCATCCCATGACATCTTAATTACTCATGAAGACCAACCAGCAAGGTCACGTCAACAACACAGGTAAGGTAGAATCTGAGAGTGTATCCTGTTTGACCATTTACAAAATTGTACAGAATGTTCACTGCTTAGTAAGTTCAATGTGAGGGCAGCATTTAGTTGTTAAGAACTCTTCCTAGTCAGCGAGATTGAGGTCTATGCCAGGACACGTCCTGCTGTTTTGACATTTGAGCTTTTTGTTTTGGTTTGAACTTACAGAAGTTCAGTTAGTGTGGAGTGTATCTCATTTCTGGGAATTTACATGGAGATTTTAAATGTGCAGAGCTTCCAAAAAGTATAAGCAGACTTGCAAAACCAGCATTTTAAAATAAAATAAAATAAAAAAAAAATGTAAAAAAATTTATTAACATGTATCATGTATTATGCTTTGAGCACACCTTCCCAGATGAGAGTCGCACACGTCTGACAGGTCACTAAGGATCTTCTTCTGGATTTCGTCTTGCTATATTTGTTAAACATGATATTTAATTAATATTTACTCTGTCTGATGACTCATTAGTATTTCAAATCTATTACTTGTTCTTAGGTAACACGTTTTGGCTGAGCAAAAAGATAATACAATAATTTATTTAGCCACATACACTGACTCTGCACATTTGACTGATTGCTTGCCTTTATTGTAACCTAGGCTATAAACTTATTGTATACTTTTATAATTACCATTATTGATTATTCATTCATTCATTCATTTTCTTGTCGGCTTAGTCCCTTTATTAATCCGGGGCCGCCACAGCAGAATGAACCGCCAACTTATCCAGCAAGTTTTTACGCAGCGGATGCCTTTCCAGCTGCAACCCATCTCTGGGAAACATCCACACACACATTCACACACACTCACACACTACGGACAATTTAACCTACCCAATTCACCTGTACCACATGTCTTTGGACTGTGGGGGAAACCGGAGCACCCGAAGAAAACCCACGCGAAGGCAGGGAGAACATGCAAACTCCACACAGAAATGCCAACTGAGCCGAGGTTTGAACCAGCGATCCAGCGACCTTCTTGCTGTGAGGCGACAGCACTACCTACTACGCCACTGCCTCGCCCCATTATTGATTATTAAAACTGATATTTAGCAGAAGAGACAGGGCATGCTTAAATATGCATACAGTACTAAAAAAGGTCGTATAAATATTTAGCTACACGATACCTTAACATTTTTAGTGTCTGTTAAGTTGTTAATACATACCCTACCCTTAATGGCAACCCTTCTGTTTTTCCCGGGATTCTCACGTATTTTACAGTTCTATCCCGCTATCATCTCTTAAAGGGTATGTTCCCGTATTTCTCCCGTAATTTCAATCTTTCAACGAAGGGTGGCAATAATATAAGCAACACGTACTGCCGAACCACCCCTTACTCTTAAATGCGAGTCTGTTTTGTGCTTTCGTTTTAGTTAGACATGAAAACACTTTGACATACATGTAAAAACGGCACAATTCTTTTTCATTACAGGTGCCATCACCCCTTCTATGCAATTCTTAAAACAGTCATTAAGCAGTGTGTTACTGTTAGCTGACACGCTCCATAGTGATAAATAGATGCTGTTTCCCAAATGGATTCTGTTCACACCATTTGAAGATGAGTGCAAGTCTGGGTTTTGGGTGCGTGTTTGAACAGACAAATACCCATATAATAATAATAATAATAATAATAATACCAACATCTAAAGATGTCGATCTTGGTAGAAAAAAATAATTTTGTCCTAAATCAGCATAAAAAGTTAGGAAAGCATTCTAATGCTTTAATTATAATGTTAGATGTGTGCATTTTTAAAGTGCCACCTCTGTTATTTAATGTAATCAAATGAAAAGTCTTTGGTGGGTGCCATATCCTTTATTTTCATATTATAGTCAGTATAGTTAATATCAAAATGATAACAAGCAGTTTTTTTTTATATCATGCATTTATTTTATTGTTAAGATAGTGAAACAACGTAGCCAGGATGGTGCAAATTATGTTTTAAAGTCCATTTGAAGATTGACTGTGTCTTCTGGAGTTTGTTTTCCATATCAAACTTGCGAAGTCTAAACTTGCAAAGAAAGGATGGAAGACTTAACTATTAATATACAGATAAAGCCCCAATCAGATGTCTGCAGTCACGCCTCCATTTTTAGATGTCTCCATTTTTGCCCATCCACACTGGTACGGAGCAGCAGCATTTTTGTATCAGAATCAATTTTGTCCTTAATTTTAGTTTTATTGTTGAAGTCATCTACCTCTTGATAAGGTTTGTTAACTTTTGTCTGATGTGCTGCTGCAGGCCTGACAATTGTAATAATTGTACTTTTTTCAATTAACAAAATTAATATAAATAAAAATATTACAAAGGCAGATTTCTAAATGATTTTGATTGAAGTTCTTTAATATGACTACTTGATTTCCTAGAAAGGATGTGTAAGAACTAACCATGACTTTTTTTTTTTTTTTAAGGATTTAATCCACATTAAAATTAGAGTGGGGTGTTTACATTCTGTTCATTCTCAGTCTGAGCCTTTACACGCCAAACCAGCTCATCCTGTCCTGGCATGTTACTATTTAGTCTTTAATTGTCTGTTTTGTAAAGGTCACTGGCTTATCTGGGTCATGTAGGGTATGTGTTATAGTGAAAGTAAACTTGGACATGACTTTAAATACCAATGACATGGGAAAAGTTTGAGATGATGATGAAGCTGCTATGGTAGTCTTTATCTATACAAGTATGTTTGAGGTCAATGCGATTGTGTGCAGCTGCAGCAGATGTGTTGACTGTTATTTGATCTGACGACAGCATCATTCTGCGTTGGGTCTGTGGACACCGAGCCTAATTTAACTCTTTGTTTGTTATTCAACAGTTGATATTTCTGATTGCTATATTGTGCTGCTTAATGACTGGTTGTAGTCATAGCTGCTTTGTTTCACAACAAGAGGAAAGAGAGAAAGAGATTTTTTCTGACTTTGACTTTTCCATAGATGTGTTTTTTATGTATTTTTTTATTTATGTATTTATTTTTTAGCTCCTCTACAGCTTTTACACTTAATACCCATAATATTTTGTACCATGGAAGCCTTTTTAAAATACTCAACGATACCAGTCAAAAGACTAACTTAATTTATTTATTCATCTTAATCCAAAATTAGGCTTTACTTATTTTTTATTTATATATATTTTTCCAAATTTAATGCGTTTCTACATCCATTACTACCAAGGCATGGGGAAAATGTTATCAGGAGCCTGAGGCAATGAATTCAGGAGACACAATATCAGCGTTCCTCACAATCTCCCACGTCCCCCACAATATTCATTGAAGCTAGTCTCTTTCCTTGTTTTGAAGCCTGTTTTGAAACTAGTTTCCTTGAACATTTTAGAAAAAAAAATCTCTATTATCTCTACAGCTGCATGTGAAAGGTAAGATTAGTCCTACAGTCTCATGCCCCATTCACACGGGGCATCAGCATCAATGCTTCTCGTTCACTTTGAATAAGTGACATCAGGCGTTGCCGAACTGCATTGTAGATCTGTTGGCGCCGCCTCGGAGGCGCTACTCGCTGCAGAAGTTGGGACTAGCTCAACTTTTCAAGCGCTGACCAAAGCGTCAGCCATTCAGATCGCTGTATGCAAATACACCAGCTAGACAGTGGCCTATTGCTGACTGAATTTCATTGGCTGACGCTGCTATGAAAATCGTGTTAGCCCCAACTTCATTGATGCTGAAGCCCCGTGTGAATGGGGCGTCATGGGTAAGTTAATAGCTTGCCACAGCAATTTGAGCAAACATGTAAAAGGTATTGTAGAAGATAAGGAATGCTTCTTGTCCACTGAGCTAGTGTAAAGTTTACTGGATATGTGGTTACTAAAATCAGCTTTATCAAGGAAAACAGCAAGCAACTCTATTAATTTCTGAGTTGCAGAAAGGATTCAGGTCATGGTGTACCCCGACTTGGCCTGTAAACTTGTAAAATACTTTACTTGTATTATCATTTATTCTACTATATAGGGCTGTGAAATTTATCAAAATCCAGTTTTAATTACAATTTAGATTCTTTGATCAAGATAAAAGAGGTGTGACGAGATATGTACTCCATGATAGAGATGCGCGGTTGGCGGTTATAGCCGCGGACTCCGCGGATAAACCGCGGATCGGGCGGATGACGTTACGAAAAAATAATATTTTAATTAAATTCGGGCAGGTGGTGGGCGGTTGTACTGTTTTTATAGGCATAGCTGGCGCACCAACGAAAAAGCCTAGGACTGACTTCACAGAATGGGAGAAGGAATCGGATACACTAATTCTGGATGAAGTACAGAAGTATTCCTCTACAAACTTCCGTATAGACGGATCAGCAGAGGAAAATCTACTTCCTTTTGGGAGAAATAAGGCCAGGCATTCCCACGACTACAGCACCTTTTCAAGAGAATTCTATGCATTTCAGCAACAAGTGCTGCGAGCGAGCGCTCCTTCAGTGCAGCAGGGCGCATTATAGTGGCTATGCAGGCGCTCTCGTCTGAATCCTGACACTGTAGATGCTATTTTAATCCTGCATTGTGCCAAGAAAAAAATCAAACTAGACCTAAGGTCAGGCATATTAAACCAATTAGCCTATGTTATTTAGGCTACACATATGTTCAATATAAACTTTTGAGTTCGGTCAGCTGATAATTTTACGTTCATATTGGTTTAGCCTATTCTTTTCTAGACATGTTGGCCTCGCTTTTACGTTCCGAGGCTAAGGTTATTTTGCCAGAATTTCTTTGTCGCAACTGGCGTAGTATTTCGTTATGCTTCAAGTTTGAGAGGAATGGGGATAATTCTAAGTCCATGGGTTATTGGACCACTTGTCATACATGCACTTAGCCTGGTCAGACTTTATGTTCGCTCAACATAATCGCTTTTCTAATTTAATTTCTAATTGTGTGGGTGACTGAGCCTACAAGGCTTAGGCACGATATGACGTTTTTATTAAAAAAAATTTCAACTGTTTGCCAAAGCATGCGACTATAGCCTATGCCTACATTAAG